TGAGTACAAGAAGGGAGACGACGTGTCAGACCTGAATGCAGTATGTCTTTGCACGATACGCAACTGTTCAGGATACTGATATGCTCTCAGAACGCCAGTCAGATCTTATGGTCGCTAACACACGCTATGCGCGAGGACGCAAGACGTAGATTCGTATTCGGGTTCACGATTGAGAATACGCGTATGCGGCTGTGGTTCGCCAGTCGCCAGGTCGTGCTAGCTTCGTATCCCGAGAACGATTTCACAACGGTGAGCGGTCTCCCCAAGTGGTCTCTGATAACTGTTGTTCATTCACGTCCAGGCCATCGGGCGCGTCGCTGGATTTTTCCTGCGCATTCTGTATGCGGAGCGGCATGCACTGGGATTCGACGAGACGATCGTGCGACTGCCGCCTGGAGAGGGTGAGAGCGATGTACCATACGAGATAGAAGTCGGCGGCAAGTGGTACCGGACGCAGCGTCTGATCTCAGCCATTGGGGCCGAGTCCATCCGTGGCCGTGGCACGCGAGTGTGGGAGGTCAAGGAGTTGGATGGGCCTGGAGGAGTGGAGATAGGGCCGTGTATGGTGCTCAAGGACGGTTGGCCCGACTACGATCGCGACCGCGAAGAAGTGATCCACGAGAAGATCTTGGACGCTGCAGAGAAGAGTGGCCAGGTCGAGACACTGAAGAAGCACATGTTGACTGTGCACGCAGCCTGCGACGTCCTGGTCGAAGGCAACGTGGACGATACGCTTGCTGTCATATGTCGTGGAGAGGCACCCCCTTATGGCGAGACGCTAGAGGTTAAGAAAGACCTGGAGGCGAAGAAGACTGTGCATGAAGACCACCCTCTCCAGGGAGCGATGCCTCGGCCGTCCGATGAGATCGGGAAGCACTTCGCGTATCACCGGAAGGTACACCACCGTATCATCTTCGAGGAAGTTGGAACGACCATCATGGAATCGGGGACAGTCTCCTTCGCGTTCGGGATTTTGCAGGAAGTGGTTGAAGGTATGTTCGTCTTCGCCTCACGACTTCGTTTGCCTGTGACTTCTCTTATAGCTCTCAGAGCCCTACACAGCTGTGGCTGGGTGCATCGGGATATCAGCGTCGGCAATATTCTTATTGTCGACGATGTCGCCAAGCTAGCAGACCTGGAGTACGCGAAAGCCGAAACTGATCGTAGAACGCATGATTTGCGAACGGTATACCCTCGGGTTCATTGTGTTAAGAATCGCTAACAATAGACTGTTTTAGGGCACTGCATTCTTCATGGCCGTTGAGGTGGAGGCCGGGACATATCTCCATGGTCGCGCTAGTCACGGGATTCTACGGACTATCTTAGAGGAAGATACTGTTGGCACAGAAGAAGCCGGGCCACTGGACAAGAAGGCGGCGGCCAAAAGAAGAAGAAGCGATCAGGACGACAACGCAGAGGATAATGCGCAGTCGGACTCCTTTCCCGTCCATGTTCTTGGCCCTAGACCAGCGGTAAGAGTCGTTCGACAGAGGCCTTTCAGGCATAATCCTCTGCATGACCTCGAGTTCGTCCTCTGGCTAGGTCTCTACGTCCTCTTCTGCTCTATCTTCAAGCGGTTCGCAGATCCGTACACGGCGGATGAACAGTGGATCGACTACATGAAGCGCCGCAAAGCGGTCGCTGCCAAACTGTTCAACAGCCAGATATTCAGGTATCAGGTCGTCAGCACGTCGACCGTCTTCAGCGAACAACTTCCTGGATTGCATCCACAACTTCAGAAGATCTGTCTAGTTCTCGAAGCGTTCTGCGAACTGCTGGTGTCTCGTTACGCCGAGGTGGAACGAAGGCCAGGTCCAATTCCATTCGACACCGCGGTCACCGAGAAGGTCTACGAGGACATGAGCAAACTCTTTGGAATTATTGCGGACAACGACGAGTACTGTCGCATCAGGGGCAAGCACATCCGGTTTAGCAGGAGCCCGGATGATTACCCCCAGCAGCGCGAGGAAATGCAGAGTGTCTTGGACGACATGCCGCAAGCTTCACCACACACGGCTTCTGGACTCGACGCTGCCGCCGACGAGGACTCTGGCCCTCCGGCAAAGGTTCGCAGGATAGGTCTTGGCTCGGCAGACGTGTGGGATGGCAATCTTCCGTTCCACCAGAATCACCGGAACGCTCTCAGTGATAGTGTTCGGATCACATACAAGTGCTAGGATACGTAATGCCGCAGTCATATGGACTTTGCGCTGACGAGTCGGATATTATCATGTAATATATCTTCGAGATCTCGAGACCGCCTCCAACCTCTTCGCTATATTTTAAAAGGCACTCCTGCTGCACGCCACTACCGCTTGGACGTAGACTCTTAGTCGAAGGTGGACTGGTAACGTGACACGGATTAGAAGTTGTTTTTTTCTGTTCGCTGGGAGTTGCCGATGAACGCCACGAAGCCTGTATGTCTCCTCTTCCGATATTAACCGCTGTGGTTGTTTCTCTTCTGACGCCGCCTTCGCGTCCGCGATGTCTCCCCCCCCTCTGGATGTCTTATGTCGTGCTATGCCTTCCTTCATATTGAAGATACCACCAATCAAGCCGAGAAAAATTCTACAAGGTCCCGTATCCATCAGCTCTCTCCATGTCCTGTCCGGCAGCTAGTGGTTGAGGGTCCGGTCCGGTCCAGTCTTTTTTAAAATTGGGTGGGACCAGGACTCAGACTGGTCAAGGACCAGCATCTGTTTGTGCAGGACCGGACCAAGACTGGGTCCTGGTCCTGTACAGTCCTCCGTGCAGTCCTGGACCGGTCATAACCAGTCTAGGACCAAATGCGGTCTTAGACCGATTCAGACCAGCTCAGACCAGTCCTGCCCTGATAAATATGACACAAATAAACAAATTTTGATTTTGAACTGCATGTACAGGTAGACTAGCAGTATACTAAGCTAATTTCTGGACAAATCAGTTTTGAGACCACACTACTCAGCCTAATGAGTCAAAGAGAAGACAGTGTGTGAGTCTCAAGAAGGCCAGAAGAGTGTACCAGATGCCTATCTCAGAAGTGCTATATACCATTCATGCATTGCCAGACTGTCTTTATGTACTGTAAGGCCTCAC